ACACTAGTTTATTTTCTATTATTTTTAGTATATGTGCTGCTAAAGTGAGCACTATTTTCTATTATTTTTAGATTTTAAAATCCTTCCATGTCTATTGTCTTTCAGCTATTTTACTAAGCACAAAGTCTGGCATATAACAAATGTCTTATCAATAACTGTTGAATGAAAGAAAATTATGTTTTAACTCAGAAAATGACTGACAAAAGAATGGGCTACCATTCCAGCTCTGCTGAGAATGAATCAAGGCTGGAGACAAGGGTCAGGACTGGGAGGCAGAGTCTTGAAACTTTATTGAGGAGTTGAACTGATATCTGTAGTGGAAACCTACTAAAGGTGTTAAGCAAGTAAGTGATGTGGTTAGAAAGTATGGTTTAGAAGGTCACTCTGGGTCTTGTGTGGAGGATGGAGCAGATGGATGGATGAGGCAGAGGGACACTGGTTAAGAGGTCACTGAGATCCAAATACAAGGAGACGGTGGTCTAAACTAGGAAAAATAGGAGAGGAGAGAAGACATTCAGTGACCTTTGTAAGGCTGAGCTACGGTGATTGCTTGGAGCTGTGAGCAGGAGGGAAGAGTCACGAATGAGGCCCAGGTTTCTGGCGGGGATGCTAGGGAGGATGGTCACACGATCACACAGAGAGGACTTAGCAAGAAGGATGCCAGTTCCATTTTGGACGTCTTAGATTTGAGCCTCCTCTCATTGAAGAGTCCAACAAAGGGGCAATTTTAAATATAGGTCTGAGGATTAAAATTGAAATGTGTATTTTTGAATTTTAATCCAGATCTGTGTTGTTTTCTACAAGTTATTGTTACAGATACTAAAAAATCAAGGTAAAGGTTGAATACACCTTAGATCAAAGGCTTGTTCTTTCTTGATTTTCTTAGAGTTTGATATACTGTTGCTTCGTTTATAGCCAAATAGGTATAAGTTATTTAAATTTTCTCCTGATATTTAAACACTGTTAATATTATTTTGGGAACTAGAGTTATTTAATGTATTAGGAAGGAAAAAGGAATGATCTTTGTTGACTTTCTTCTCCAAGTGAAGCACATTAGAAGACTGCTCCTATTGATTCTTGTGTAAGAAAAGGTATTTTAAATACCCCAGCATTTCAGCCTTCTTAAGCCCATGCAGCAGAAACTCTGAACTTCAACTCCCCCTCTTCCTATTCATGAAAGGAGGGCGTTTGAAGGGATATTTGGTGAGGCTGCTTAGAGCATAAGTTGATAGGGTAGGCTACTGGGTCAGACTCCAGGCCCTGTGTCTTACTAGTAATATGACCTTTTTGGGGGGGGGGATTTTTTTTTACTAATTTATTGGAGATCTTATATACATTACAAATATTTCCATCCCTTAGGGTGTCTAGTAATATGATCTTGACCAAGTTATTTCATCTCTTTGGCCTCAGCTGCCTCATGTAAAACAGGCATGATTAACAGTACCTACCTCTTGGGTTTATGAGGGAGGATAAGTTATGTGAAAACACTTAGGAGCAGTGCGTGGCATACTGAGCGCACTCAACATCTATTAGCATTAAATGATGCTGTTAAAGACAGTGTTTTCTTTCTCCTAAACTCAAAAAATTAAAAATCTTGGAAATACATTATTTTAGATCAAGTTTTCCAATCAGAAACAAGATTTCACATACAGGATATAGCATCTAACGCTGGCCCTTTCTGAGAACTCCAGCAGGTTGTGTAAAAGTCATCATAGAGTGAAATCTTACTAAGCAAGTAAGCCTGCAAAAATGGACAGTTAGGAAAAGAATTTTCAGACAGCTAGGAATCAGGGCCAGAGCAGCAAGAATTAATATCTTAAGTTTGCTGAAATAACAGTTTTATAGTCCAAATAGGCCCAAAATATACAGGGATAACAGGGCTTTAAAAAATGAGAGTAAAAATGTAAATCCAACTCAGAGTGATTTATCCTCATTTTTCCATAAAATGAGAGCTGGTTAATCAGGACAAACACGTTTGACCAAAAGAACCCAATAGGGCCAGTGAAGCCACTGTATGCGTGTCTGGTAGACAACCTGGCACACAGGAAAGACCAGGCTTCCTTTTCACCAGAGAGACCATTCTGCTTCCAGAAAGATTAGTTATGAATATGCCTGAAACTAAATGAGAGCCCTACCAAATCACGAGCTTATGACGTAGGCTTTTAAATCAGCAGTTAACATTCTTGAACGTGGTGGTTTAACAATGGTTATAAATGATGCACTGCTTAAAGGAAAACATAACACTGAATAAAATACTTGATGACAAATTACATCCAGTCTGTGTAAGTTGAACGCATACCATACTTTAATCAAGACAGTTCAGCCATTTTTCTCAAGTGTGTTTCAAACAGTTAGCATATAACCCGTATATAACAATATTGCTGTGTTTTAGGTCATTTTATATTGAAGGGTCCAAAATATGTCATGTTCACAAAATATCACTGTCCATGAATGTCAACCAGTTTTTGATTTATAGTCCTTCAGAAACACGCTACCCTGGTCATACACACTAATCTAATCTACATCACTGAAAATAACCAAAGATGACAGTTCACAGAGTCTCACCCCCATATAGAAGTTCTAATTGCCCTAGAAACCTGCGGGTCAAGTTCTCAACCTTTGAAAATAAGCAGAAATGTTCCAGAGCAGTCACTGTAGCCATGTATTTGGGCTTTGTATTTATACAATATTTTGTATATTTATATATATTTATAGCATTAGATTTGAGACCTGAAGGTGGCCACACATGTTGCAGGAAGCTAAGTTCCATGTCAAAAATAAAACGCAAAAGGAACCGAAGAGGTTTTGTAATTCCGATAGCACAGATTTCAGAAATTGAGCACTTAGACATAACTCCTACATCTCTCTTTAACTGAGAGGTCATTGCCATGCTTACAGCTTTGAGGCAGTAGTCTATATATCAATGTGTGATTAATCAGAGTGCATTTACTACCATGAACTTGGGTCCCAGACCATAGCATGAACTTTGCCCTCCCCCCAAAGAATCATTTGCTCTTGAATTAATAGGCTTTTAAGGCACATTGGAACAAAAACCCATCATAGACCCAGCTTAAAAATGGAAGCTCCACCTGCTTACAATAATATATCTACCTAAGTAATGGGTGATGTACCAGACAGGCAAATGCCTCTATTTTGATGATAAACTCGTTTTAGAAAAGTGATTCTTTATTTGCTTATTCAGAAAGAAACATTGTGTAAAAAGTATCAAAAGAATTAGGTTTATAAGAACAACCTACAGTTACCATGTCGGCAAAGGTCCAACAGGTTATATAGGTCTAGAAATTAGGAAAAAGACTTCCCTGGAGCCCTGGGTTCCTACTCAGCCGTGTTTTTGAGTAGGAATCATGGGGAAGGGAGTCAGGGCACCTTCGTGATTTTTAGAAATTTCTTTCCAAAATGCATAGACCCTTGGGAGGGCTCATACGTTAAACCCCAATTAGCTACCATCTTAAATTGCAGTTACCAGCCTCAAAAGGATAGGATTTGGGGAGGTGGAAAGAAGCCACAGAGAGCAGTGGGATTGTTTCAAAAACAAGTTGCTTTAGGAACTTGATACATTTTTGCTAGGATCAGCTTTGATACCCCTGTGAGGCTCTACTTAAAAAAATTTTTTTCCCTAATACCTGCCAACATGCTTTAGGGCACTAACCTTTGGGATGAACCTAGAATTATCTGCTTGGAATGGTTTGGGATGAGGGTAGACATAAAATCTCTTAACTTGCTGTTGGTCTAAAGTAAACATAAGTGGAGGAACTTCAGAGAAACAGACACAGAGCTAAGTGTAACACCTCCCCCAGCCATCCTTTCCCACTGACCTTTAGGGGTTTTCAGGATGGCTTTTTAGCCATGCAGAGTATGCCGCTAACAAGATAAGCTCTAGTTCAATCACAAAGTGGGAAGAGGCAGAGGCCACAAGGCACACTGTCACTGACAAAGAGACTCAGAGGTGACAAATGCACCCACCAGGACTCAGCTCTATGGTGGTGGAGATATGAGATGCAGCCTGTAGTCGTGGGGCAATGAAAAAAACTGGTCCTAAACAAACATTCTAAATGTTGCACACGAAGAGGCCCATTATCAGGGGCCAAACACACATAATTGTAAGGGATATATTTTTAAACCTGCAGTTGCCAATCACCTACATTGGGGAGACCATGTGGCCTCTGGTGTGACATCAGCCTGGGCGGCAGGTACAGAAAAGCTTCCAGAAACCCTGCAATTTAGCGACATTCTGATTTCTCTCCAGTGATCGGCACCATTTTGGAAATCTGGTCCCAAAGGTTCTAAAGAACAGTAACGCAGTAAAAAGAAATAACCTTTTTGTATAAAATGATGAGACAGGTGTGTTGAGGTAAAGAGCTCTGTAAAAAATGTTGAGTAGGGAAGCACTGCCATGGCTGGAGAAATTTGGAGATAAGTTTGGTGCTAATACTATTCTACAAAATTTCTGTTTATTCCATTTATAAACAGGGGACAGTTCTTATTGCTCCTGGAGCTTTCCGCCCCAATCTGAAAAATGTTCCTCCACTGAAAAATGATTTTTCTCAACAATTGGTAGCAAAGATTCCCAAATTTATAAAAAGTCACTGCCAATGCATCACTTTCTGATGAATTTCCAACTGCCCTATAGCTATGGACTCAGTATGCATGTCCTAGACATCAAGTACAGAAAAAAGCTTAGAAAAGTTGTTTTTATCAAAGTGTAGTTCAATGAGGAAAAAAAACATGAAAAAGTGCAAAATATATACAGTTCCTGGCAGTTCTCACACAGGATTTTTCTGACTGCAGACCATAAAAGTTTACATTTGTGTAATGAAATTACAGTGGATTTCACTCCATTGTTAATATACAAGTTTTTGCTTCAAAGTGCTTACTTTATTTAAAAAAGAGGATCAAGAGGGTGGCAGGATTTTTTTTTTTTATTTAACAAACAATATCTGTCATATGTTCC